TGAGTTTTCCATTGATGATGATAAAAAAAATAGTGCACTGGTCTTTGATGTTGGGCTGTGGCACCAGGGTGGGTGACATGATCTTTCGCCCGGTTTGTTCCTTTTTGCAAACCACACACAGAATGATTAAAGTGGTAGGAAAAGCGCCCCCCCATTGCTAGCACCACTCTGGCAGTCGTTGATGATGATTAAATCCTCTGCGAGCTAACAAAAATTTAATGCAACTTGCTAGGCACGTTGGACACCTTACTACTCCCTATACAACCCCATGGCTGGAGTGCAATGTGTTCCAGCAAAAATAGTGCACATCTTTATTAAATTTGGTGCATCCTGATAGTTCGGTACATAGCCTGGCAGCCATTGATACTGATGATATACCTGCTAGTTCAATCTACTTTGTAGATTCAATAATATTTTGAATTCAAATAATGTATGATTTCCTTACTTTCAAATCAAGGGGGTAATGTTGGCGTATATAGCGTTGGCGTATATGGCGTTTATAGACTTAGCATGAGTTACATAGTATGTTGTCAGAATTTAGATAGGATACTAGTTACCTAATCGTAACTAGGATTGGCTGAAATAACCCTTTGATCTTATGCTCTACCTCTAAGCAAAAGGGCAGAATAAGGGGTTACCCCGCCAGCCAGGACCTGCTGCTCCCTGCCAGAATTGTGTGCACATCACTGGAACAGAATGCAGCTACAGCCTTTAAGCAGAAGTTTCCCAAGTGGAAAGATCACTGCCGATTGAATTAGGCCAGTTTCTCCAGCTGGGAACTTCTTTTCAATTCAGTTTCCATAGCTATTTATTAAAATTAACACATTGCTTCACATCTCAGGCAGAAAAAAAAAGATTTTACAAGTCCGAGTGTGGCAAAAAGTGTATACTGTACTAGGGCTGGAATCCTATCGTTTAGGTGCAGAATGGAAGAGAGATCACATGAACAGTCCCTCTGCTCTGGTACGTCTTCCTCGTGTGCTTGTTCTCACACTGGCTGTGGCATAGGCCATGCAATGAGAAGTCTGCCAGAATATGGTGGGGAAACGCATATGATATTTCCTTTTCTGCTCCATGTTTAGCTAACTGGATCCTAGCCAGAGACCAAAATCCTGTCGCTTAGTTACACCTGAGGAAGTCAAACAACAAAACTTTCAGAATTTCAGGCATACACCAGTCATCACAATCTAAGCTGAGACTCTTTAATTGCCAGCAGGAAGCCTCTAGAAGCTACGCCACTTGCCTTCTGCAAGCATTATTACACAGGATTTCTAAAATATGACTCGCACTTTTCTATCTTTTTTCAGAGACCTTGCATATCTTGTGGTGGATAACATCTTAAAAGAGGCATCCGACTTACCTGCGAGAATGCCTCTTTTGCAGATTTTAAAGCTCTTAATTTTTTAAGAAGAATCTGCCACCTATTTAATCAGGGACATCTTTTCACTGGAGCAGTCAATTAAACCAGCCTCCTGGAATAAATTCCCCTCTGAAAGTTCCCCTCTGGATCACAAATCCTATCATCCCCATATGGCATGATCACTGAGCAGGAATCACAACAGAGCAGAGCCAAAGCTTAGCATTTTCACTACATCGCCCAGGCAGTATGGCTACTGGCCTGGAATTTCTGAGTGTTAGCGTTCAAAAAAGTCAATTTTCCAAGGAAGACCTGATTAGACACTGAAGTCATCCAATTTCAATTATTGTTGTCAAGGTAAAAACTAAAATATATATTTTAAAAACCCAAAGTTCATGTGCTAAGGGATATATTCTCAGCCGTAGTCCTAAACTGGAACCTCTAGAACATATCTGAAGTAACTCCACAATCTCCTGCTGGCCTGATAGATGGAAGCAAGTAACCTTATTGGTTACTGGGCTAAGCCAGCACTACCATTAGACAAAGTTGTACAACAAGTGTCCAAAGCAGAAGAAGTTGGAAGCCAACTCTTCCTCCTGGCCTGTCCAGTTATAATCCTGAAGGGTAAAGTAGTATTTGCCTCATGGCCTGTCTTCTGCCCCTAAAAAAGTCTACACTTTCAGGTATTCCATCAGCTATCCATACACTCGCCATTGGTATGCGGAATAAGGAGAAAAACAACTTATAGTCCAGATAGGCAG